GATAAACACTGGCCCTGGATGGAGCTTCATCACCAAAAAGTGAACTAAGTTCATCCATGTATTGCTGTTGAGTTAGTCCACGTCGAAAGTTGTAGAAAATAATCGCGCGAAAATGCTCACGATTCAACTCCATAAGTTGGCCTAAACAAAAACTTATAACTTAGTGTAAACAATACAAATCGCGCTCAAATTTTAACGTAACCTCAAAATAGTCAAACTTTACGATACTATTTCATCATAATCTGGATTACCCAAAATTATCGTGAACTGTGCCTTTATTCATCGGCTCCATGAATAGATGACCAGTTCATCGCAAAACTGTGTGACGTGGTTGGTTCAGCTTATTTACGACCCCTTCTCATTTCTGATCTTTCTTTGTTGACAGAGTTTGGAGCTCTGCAGTGGATGCTCAACCATCTTTTGTAGAGCAAGTTGAGTGAACCGTATGTTTTTAGTCATCTCCTCAACACTCCCTCAATGTTCTTAACTTTTCTCCGCTCCGGAACTAGATTGTCCAACTTGTCGTTCAGGAACGTTTTTCCGTTCAGTATAAAAGGAGCTACAGGTTCCAATCTATTCATCATGAGTATCGCCAGCATTGAATTCAGTCTTAAGCCAGTGTCTCTGCAGGCATTAGCGGTTTCGGCCTGCTGCGTTCCGTGTGCAGTCCGTTTCTCACGACCATGGTCTTTCTCAAGTACAGTCGTAGACCGATCATTCCACAACTATTATCAAATTCGGCCGCCAGTCGTCTCGTCTGCTCGATATTGGATGATATAAGCATGACGTCGTGTGCAAAGCAAAGCTTATGTGAGTAATGAACGTCGCCCTTCACTCCCAATCTTCTTGATCCAAATCCCGCACGACGCTCTCGAAACTGTCATTGAAAAATTTGGCATGCTTTGCCGAATCTCTATCTTCAACCTGACAATGAGTTCCTTATAGTTCCTTATAGGACTCATCCTAAACGTGGTTGTCATAATGAATAGAAACGCCCTAGTTGCCCGAGAATTCATTTACCGTTTGTGTGTAAACAATATCGAAAGCGCTTACCAAATGGGGTAACGTAAGGCAAAACGGCATCCTGCATTCTGCAGATACTTCAATAAGTCAAGTGACGACTAGCATTGCGGTTGCTCTACTCATCTCGGCAANAGAACTGTCTTCTTTCTTTCAGTTCTTTCTTTATCGCTTCTCTGCATGGCTTTGCAAGTTTGCCACCAGGTTTCTCTGAACTTCGCAGCTCTTGCTCTCTCCAAGTTTTCGTACAAGTCAGTGTTTATGGCCCAGTGTGTACTGACGAGGACATCTACACCGCCTGACGCAGCTGATGTCGCATGTCCCAAGGAATAGTTTTACTCCCGTCTTAAAAACGTCGTGCAGAGGGCGATGCTTTCTCGTCTTGGTCAGACTGCTTGAACTACCTTGCCCCACCTGACCTTCGATAACCACTGCGATGTGAGCGTTCGTGCATTGAAATTCCAGATCACCAACTTAGTACTTCTTCTCTACGTAATACGTTACGGCCCTAATTGTGAGTGTTGAGCAAACTCTTCCGTGTAGTCCTCTCGACGCATTTGATCTTTATCGCCAGCGACTGGACAACCTCATTTTGTCCAATCTTCTTCTAATCGCAAATGATAATGCGAGTGCGTCCTAGACTCTTGACAGGTTCCTGGTGCCCACTTACCTCGGTCTCCAGACCTCGACTTCACTCATTGCTATTCGTTTTAATCTAAGCATTAAACAGAAGTAAGTTAGCTCGAAATAGGGAAATAGGTTATGATTGCAGCAGTCAATTAATTATGTGGGAGAGATGATTTTATGATATCTAGAAATGCCAGTTGATGACCTCCTTGAGTCACAGTCCCGTGATTTTCAGAGAAAAGGCCTTTGAGATTCGCTCATAAGAGACGGATGTTTGTCTCTTTAGTTATTATAACTCTGCTAATTGATACATGAGGAGGTTCCATGAGTCATTTTAAGAAACTTTTCTGTACAGAAACTATCTTCCCATTTTGATGTCACTTCTACGAATTTCATGAGATATACTTGAGTCATTGCGATTTGCATTTTCCAGATTTCCATAACTAGTATCCTTCCTATATCTCCTTCCCTGTCACAAAAATCTAACTTTGTTGATGTTGCTGATGACGAGACGATCAGTGTCGGCAGAGAAATTGTGATCACTTCTTTGGTAGGAATACCAAATTAGGATCCAAGAAATGAATCAGAAGTAATAACCAACCTTTCCGGGATGTCTTCGCCCTTGTCGTTCTTGTCTTCGAAAACAGGCTTCCTATTCTGGTTAATGAAGCTCAGATCCATCAACTTGCGATCGAAATTATGGCCTGCAGGGGTGGCTTCGACCTGAGAAAAGACCTTTTCCACTGAGCCTCTCGATCAAAGATTCGGTGAACTCTGGATTACCTCGAAGAGTCTCTGGTTCTTTCTCAAATAGTCTAATAACTCATCACCGCTAAGCACCTGCGCTTGCAGTGGAATCTCCTCGGCTGTAAAACCAGATCGTTTCGCATTGATCTGTTAGAACTCGAAATCTAGTTCACCAATGAAAACTCACTGAGGACATCTGCCTCAGGTAAGACAGCTGCTTGAATAAGATGTATGCAGAGGGCAAGCACAAGGTACTTCTGGAATATGTAATGTTTCGGACCAATTGCTGAAAAAGTAGAACTTTCATGAAAGTGAGTTCAGAGTAACTTACCATGGTTGCAAACAATTACGCTAACCAGCACCCCCTTAAATTCGCTTCGGTCATGTGACTGTAAGCAGGGATTAGCTTTCTATCCGATAAGGAGAGAGTGTGAAGAAATGCTAGAAAAGCCTCAGGGATTAAGATACACTCAAGGTATGACAAATACTAGGTTGGAAAGAAGTTGATTTTTCTAGCTTTAATAGGCTTTCTGTAATTGGTGCTTTGACTATAATCCTCTCCCTTTTATCTATTCATCTTTTTGTGGCCTCTAAAGCAGCTGCGTAAAATTACGGTAGCATCTCCAGACCACAACCACTCAGACTAACAAAGTACATAGCGGTAGCTTTTGCAGAATGGTGCTTCTTGCGAACCCAAATTCGTCGAAGGATTGATTTCGTGCTCTTTTACAATTTAGTGTCCTCAAGACAGTTTTTACAGTGCTTTGCCTTACAGCTCTGTTATAATGGGACCGTTTATTTGGTCGACGTTTCGAACAAATCCTCGTCTTCAAGGACCTGGAAGCAATTTGGAGCTTCTGGTCTGTGACTTACCCGATCAAGCGCCCAGACGCGCTTGCCCAGTTGCAACAGCTCCCAGAAACTTGAACACTAAAAGATCCTAACCGAGAAACCAACCTTCTGCGGTCCCACCAACGTTGCCGTCCCACTATTTTGCGAACAATAAGGGACCAATGAGACACCATTTACGGTCTTTGGATAAGAGTCCGCATAAAGGAATGAATGGTAGAAATTCGCCTATTATGGCAATGCACTCATTTCGGTTGCTAAGCTCGGAATTTCTCTCGCGGATGTAGAACGCTTTCAAGACCTTCTATCTCATTCTCGTATGCTAGGCTTTTGCATGTAATATCCTTTATGCGGGTTTTGAGAACACCGCGTAACTCTTATCCAACGACCGTCAATGGTGTCACATTGGTCCCTGTTTGCACAAAATCAAGTGGGACGACAACATTGGTGGACATTTGGGATCTTTTGGTGTTTAAACTTCTGGGAGCTGTTGCAACTGAGCTAGCGCGTTTGGGCGCTTGGTCGGGTAAGCCACAGTTCAGAAACTCCGAACTGCTTTCAGGTCATGAAGACGACTTTTCGAAACGTAGACCAAGTGAACGGTTCCATCATGACGGCAAAGCATTGTAAAAATTATGTAGCATGCCCAGGTTTTAAGAAGACTGAACATGGAATTTCGATACAGTGTAGTTATGTGATTTTAAATGGAACCTAAATCCCAAAGCAACCCTTTCCTATTTGTGAGTTTTCCTACGAAAATCACCCAAGGTTACAAAAGGAGAGGAAAGGCAAACAATTATCCCAAATGGTGTTGGACTTCTCAAACTTGGTTTCGCATATAAACCAAGGACCGTTGGCTTGTGTTTTCTACTTCTATTGCATGGCACATTTGGGTGTATTCTAATGAACTAAAATAATTCCCTTGTATTACAGTAATTAAGTGCAATTATTATTATTGATAGAGCAACTTTGAATTCGTCAAATAGTGTTAGTCTGTTTCTTATGCATTTAAATCGTGCACTTACGACAGCTACTCACGAGCAATACTCACATGTTGCTGTGCCTTAGCTGCATTTTCGAGAGACAGTCCAGTCAAATGAGCAGAAACGATAAGCTAATTCAGGAAATAACAAGAAATACATTGCTTCCATTTTAGAATCAGATTTATGAACTATTGCCTGATTTTCTTTCAAATCCCCAATCTGCCGATGGATCTGGCCTGGAATCTGCCTTGGCAATAGGGTTGAAAGTTTAAATCGTTCGCATAGCTTCCATGTCCGCTTAACGTATTGAACCACCTAGAAAAAAACGGATTCGACGCAAAGGATTCACAAATGATGTTTCCCGGGGTTTTCGTGAGGATATCATAATGCATGTTAGGAAGGGGTCGAAGAGAAGTACTATTGACCTTGTCGAACCTTTACGACATCTTAAGAAAAACGGAATTTTTGAAAGTTACCCGAATTTCTCAAGAAACCTTCGAGGTGATGAGCTCGTGCGGGCTCCCTCCAAAGCAGTTACTAGCAAAGGTGCGAGCTTGTAAAGCTATGCGAAAAGACGAGGATGGAAGCTTGAGAGGGGTTAGAACATAGTGCTGGTAGCAGATATACTTCCTTATTAATTTGTTTATTTATTTATTTATTTGGAGCCTTTCACTTGGGGCAGTAGGTGCACAGGCTCATTTTGGTTGTCGCCCTCCTGGGGAGGGTATAGGGAAAGTGAATTTCGCTTTGCTTGAGATCGAAATCGGGAGCTTTGGAAAGGCCAATTGGAAACATGCCTGAATGTGAGTCTAATCAAATTTTTAGGGCCTCCAAAAGTACTAAGTTGAAGTTCACTCTCTTGCTGTATTTAGTGAGTCGAGAATTTGAGATTCAGAATCCCATGAAAGGAGTCTGCTGATTGTGAAATGGTCAGGTCTTTCAGCGGTTTGTGATTATAATGGCTTAGTGAGTGGAATAGCATTAGCGTGAAAGTCTCTGTGAAGTTCTTGCCGATTCATACTGATTTCTTTGCGTTGAGGTTGTGATGAATGTATTTCTCTATGGAAAGACTAGGAGTGCTTTGCGCTGATATGATTTCAAGCCGTAATCATTCCAGTATATGACGTTTTTAGTCGATGGGAATCATTCGACCGGAATATTCCGTGGTCACCAACAGGAATTGACTCTCTAGCATCCATCGATAGCATACTTTAGAACCACTGCAAAGAGTGAGTGAGTCTTCTAAACCTCATCATATGTCTCCCGTATCATACGCCTATGAAGCCACAGTCATAATAAGACACCTTTTTCGAGTATATTCCTTCTATTCTGTTGCTCCCAAAGAGAATGCGGTAGTAAGTAACGAGACAGGATGCGATGAGAAATACGAGTAACCATGTACATGCATAGAAACTGTGACTGTGTTGATTGTGTAGTCCAGTTTTCCACCCCCTTTTTTTCCTTTTTTTGGAGCTGAGCAGAAGGGGATGAGTGGCATAGGGAGCACTCAACAACCTGGAGGGAGTAGAGTACTAATACTCACAGTTTTAGTGATTTTAATCGAGAAGGTTACTGAACTGGATCCCACTGGACATCAATATAACATAGGGACGGGTTTCAGCTATTGGCTAATCTTCTTTACTAATTTCTCTATGGGCAATTCGAGCAATTCGCCTCCAGGACTCTTTTGAACAAATCTTTCATATGTGTGCCGCCAATATGTCTTTTGGACTGATTATCAAGATCGTTAATGGCTACGAAAAATTAACTGTCCACGTANTCCGTAAAAAGAGACGCCAGTGATTAGATACAAAGTAGCAGTTAAGATTAGTTCCAAAAAGTGAACTCAAACGCAGCAAGCATCTGTTCTTCGTCTGCTAGAGTATTCCAGGATTACGCCACTGCTAGCTTTGAAGCACACTAGACACCAAAAGCAATGCTGGCATCTATTTTCCGCAACTGTGAACGCTTTTTGCGAGGCTAGCGAAAGTGCAGACTCTTATAGGTGAGCTTTCAAGCCGGCGTGATCGCATTCGGAGAAGAGAACAATAGAGACTAGCAAAAATTTGATTTGCGGCTCCATCGATCACCATATTTTCCAGTGCTCTCAGGTGGAATTTCGTAAGCAGGCAGTGTAGAAAGGCGGAATAAAGTGAAATCATGTCCTTCTCAGTAGAGCGCCTCGCTTTAGAACGGGTTGTGATTGACTTTATTAAGGATTAGACAGAGGCATTTTAAACTGCTGAGGCCAGTGATGGCAAAATTTCGAGCGTGACAAACAGAGTGAAAAACTGTTCAAACAATTTCGGAACATCCCAGCTTGTTCTACAGGGGACTTACCACCAAGGGACCAAGGGTCTGACGGAGCTGGCTAGAAAGTCGAGTGTTAACACTGGCAGCACAACGTCGGAGAAGGCACCTTTCACTATCTTTGGAACAAGAGAGCAGGCTCAGCCTAGATTAAACCAGTTACATTCTTGGAGCAGGTGCCAATTTGTTCGTGGATAGACTTACGGAATTGTTCAGTTGTTGATGATGTGGGCTAATATTTACTCTTCTTCGGAGCACTATTGAGCAATGTATCAGGTTGGAGCACCCGCTCTTCTTCACTTGCGTGGATTCTAAAAAGGCGTCTAATGTGTTCGTCGTGAATCGTTTTGTGCGGTTTCCAGAATGTACGGCATACCATAGTTTTATGTCACTTATTTCATAATCTGTATCTCTACTCATCCTGCTGCGCAAGGCCGAACACAGGTTGGACGCCATTTCTCGAAAATGTCACGGCACTGAAACAAAGACGTACCTTTTCGCTGATGCTCTTAAACATCTGTGTATATTTCGTAATGGGGAAAACTGCAACAAATAACGGCAGGCGTATTTGATTTGATTATTGAAGGCTCCCATATTCGAATATCGCGGATGACAATGCCCTTTTTAATGGGGGCGAGGACGAACCACAAGACGCACCGATAGACACAACATGGTAACAAGCCTGACTGGATTACGCATCAGCGCAAGTGGATTGAAGGTTATGGAAACGACCACGCTCATGGTCAATGACGGAGACAGCGTTCGAGATTGTCGACATAATGACATAATTCCGTTTCGGAATATCATTAATTATCATGGCGTTGTACGCACTTGTATTAAAAAAAGCTCCAGCACCGCAGTTTCGAAAACCTCAAATATTGTTAACGATGTCGTCCGAAACTCAGGATGTAAATATGCGGTCGTGCTCTACAATCGTGCTTCCTACAGTACTTCATACTCCTCATTTCTTCGAGAAATGAATGCCCTTCAACAAAGGTACTTGCGACGGTATATGACGATACGATATACGGACTAAATCAGATATGGAGACGTTGTGCTCCGCTTTGGTATGAATCACCCCCGCGTGATTGTGGTCTAGCGTAGACTTTAACTGGCCAATCATATCCGTGTATGCCGCAGCAACGGGAACGGAGCAACGAATGACCAAGTATTGGACTCCAAGCTCTTAGCT